TTAATTTCATTTATTATTATTTTTAAAATTTTAATAATTGTACACCCACTCTTTTGATTGCATTGAATCAAGTGTACCAGACACTTGTCATATATTAGAGTTTTAACCACTGCAATAATAATACCTTTATTTCCATTTTTCCAATTTCCCCTTGTTCAAGAAAAAAAAATTATACTTCCTTGAGGAATAATGTTGCTTTTCAATTGTCAAAGTGTTTATGAGTAAATTTTAAAAATAGTTAGTTTGAATTAACCTTTTTAAAATTTGTTTGTAGGCCTTTAAATGTTAATAAGTAGTAACAATTTTTCACTAATAAATTTTTAATTTTTTTTAAAATACTGCTCATAGGCAAGTAAGCAAAATATCATTATTTATTCAAGAAGATATATAGTATACATTACATATAATATAATGAATTCGTCAATACAACTAACAATGTCATGATGCACATTATTCAGCACAATATATATATATATATATATTTAGGAGAATTTTATATTATTTCAAGTGGTTATATACATTTAATATAAATGTTAAATCTTTATTTATACATTTGAAATCTCAAGTTTAATTTTTTATACATTAATATTAAATTACAAATATATTATATATACATTTTAAAATCTCAAATTTTTCTATACATCAATTTTAAACCACAAATTGTTAAAATATAATTTTCCCTTATTAAAAAGAAGATAAATGGCAACACGTTATTTCTAAATTGTTTTTAGGAATACTAATTTGGGTTAAAAATTGAGTGCCAACTAGCTGGTAACAAATATGCCAATTTGTGATAGAGATGATTCAAAATTGACAATAGGATTCTTTTCTTTTCTCAGATCTGAAGGTATATACCATAATCTTTTCTTCTTTTTCAAATCCCTCTAATGTACATGTTTAAGTTCAAATTTAAGGACCGAGTCAAAGACCCTTTGAGGCAAAAGCAAAAAGATTTAACGGTGACAAATGAAGCAATTATATAATAATCTAATTTTTGTTTGTTAAGTCTGTTTAATCTGTACCTTTAAAGTATAAGTTAAAAGTATATCAATTATATTATTTTACATTTAATTTTTATAAAAATCATAGACATTAACTTTATTTTTATTACCAAATTACATGTATATTTTTAATTAGACGATTAATAAAATTAAAGTTATTTTTTAATTTTTTTAATATAA